AGAGTTAAAGCTGGCATTCAAGTGTAACAAAACAGAAAAAGCATCGGCACTGTTTTGGAAAGGTCAACAGAACATATTATTAAATACCGTCTGCATGGTTACCTTATTGGCACTTTTTCCTGTGAAATAAACTAGACATTGAAGCCATCGCTGCAGCAGCCATGTACACAGCAGAACTCCACAAACAACGTCCTTCCAAAGCACTGCAGAACAAAATATATGGACAAAGTGTCAGAGAAGTAAACCAATTACATTCTAATAGAGACCATTTTTTAAAGATGCGACTACAAGACTTTTCTTTTTGTCGCTGCTTTTAATTGAACTATTCATATCTTAGACTGCACTGTATTTTTATCCATGTACTTTTTTTCTTTTAATGTTTAATTGACTGCACTGTAACTTTTATCCATGTATTTTTTCTTTTAATGTTTATTTTATTAGCTTTTCTTTTTAATGACTGTTTTTAAATGCCATTTTCTTAATCTCTTTCATTTTTTGTAAAGCACTTTGAATTGCCTTGTGTTGAAAAGTGCTATATAAATAAACTTGCCTTGCCTTGCCTACAACAGTTCCTGAGCTGGATTCTGATACGATTTTGAGAAGCACAGGTTGGAGTTCAGGGCCAAACCTTATGGCATTGGCTACGATGGTGAACATGTTGCTGGTCTTCTCATTGTTAGAATAAGTATACATACTCATATCTTGTGTACATAAGGAATGGTTGAAAGTGCAGAAGGAGATGTTTGATGGTACACCAAGGGAAATTACCTAGTGATACATGTTGGGCTTGTAGACGCATAGCATGTTACGTGGAAAAGTGGACTGTGCTTGTCTGAGATGAATCATGTTGAAACCAGAGCATATTGGTTCAGATCAGAGTGTTCTGTTCTAGACGATCTTTAAGGACTCCAGGTTTGAACAGTTGGTCGATCAAAGGCTGTTGAGCTGATTTAAGCACTTGAAGAAACATTGACACATTCTGAGGCCTTTTTTGATGAACTGTGGATCGAAACACTTGACATGTGTACTTGCCTTTTTTCTCATTGCTTCCATCTTTGGACAGAATGCACTGTAGTTCCTGATGGCAAACATTGCGAATATAGGTACATTTAAAGATCTTAAACATGCACTTGAAGGATAGACCATAACATACTGAATAAGAGATACTTACGATTCAAATGTTTAGGTTTACTATGACGGAGAATAGATTATCATGTTTTGCTATCGGTGATCGAGCGTTCAAGGCCGTGGCTCCCAAGCTATGGAACGCTCTGCCCGCTCACCTACGGTCCGCAGACTCTGTTGACTCCTTTAAAACTAATTTAAAGACAGTCCTGTTTGGGCAGGCGTTTGGGTAACCGGTGTGCTTGATTTTATTCTATACTATGTTTTATTGTGTTTTGGTGCTTATGACTTCTTAACACGTGGCTTGTGTGGTCATTTATCATTGTATGTTTTATTGTTTTGTCAAGCACTTTGTCTGTGAAAAGCATTTATGAATAAACTTCACTTACTTACTTACTATACTCAGGAATGAATCAAAGCGCACTAAAGCGTTGGCAAATACACCAAATATAAATGTGATTTTAACATAGCTTAAAATCTGATCAAATTAGTATTCATGATAGCCCTGTACACCTACTTACTTATGAAGATCAAAATACTCAGCTGCTTCAGATGAACTCACTCTTCTTGTAATCAACCTCCTAATTGAAAATGGAGATGCCTCCATATAAGCACCATAATTAACATTATCATTAGTGAAGGGAAGCCGCTTCCTAAACACTTCAGTCTCGAGTGCTCACAGCCTCCTTACAGAATCATTTACTTCAACACAGCAAAATGAGGGTGGGGGGGATTTCACTCATCAGTATATATTAAATGTTGACCATCATCAGAACCTCCATCGTGTTATATTTTGCACATTTATCAGTTTAATCAGGCTTAATTCAGCCAATCCAAATAATTAGAATTCCTAATTTCAGTCTGATTGGAACAAAAACAACACCTTATGTCCATCAAACATCCTCGGCAACAGCGGCTTAAAAAATATTTGGATGAAGCTTCCTTTCTTTAAAATAATAATTGATATCTGCTGCCAAATTGGTATATAACGCACTTTAAAGTACTGTTTTAGAGGTGTACTAAAGCAGGTTCAATGCCTCTCGAATCAGCCCATCTATTCAGTCAGACAAAAGAAGTTTTGTTAGTTTGTGGTCATGTCTTTCCCTGAGAGCTCAAGGACAGCAGAAAGTCCTCCGCCTGACTTTTTCCCCCTGGGCGAACAGTATTGATCCTCGTTGCTGAATTAGCATTTCATTCCACCTTTCCTCATTTAAAATGGTGATTGCTGATATCTCACCCAGGACAAATGGTTGGCTGGGGAATTACAGCTGAGGGTGATACCGATGAGCCACACAGAGTTAACAAGCTTATCATCACAGTGTAAACAGCAGTGTGTGTGTGTGTGTGTGTGTGTGTGTGTGTGTGTGTGTGTGTGTGTGAGTGAGTGTGTGTGTGAGTGTGTGTGTGTGTGTGTGTGTGTGTGTGTGTGTGTGTGTGTGTGTGTGTGTGTGTGTGTGTGTGTGTGTGTGTGTGTGTGTGTGTGTGTGTGTGTGTGTGTGTGTGTGTGTGTGTGTGTGTGTGTGTGTGGTGTGTGTGTGTGTGTGTGTGTGTGTGTGTGTGTGTGTGTGTGTGTGTGTGTGTGTGTGTGTGTGTGTGTGTGTGTGTGTGTGTGTGTGTGTGTGTGTGTGTGTGTGTGTGTGTGTGTGTGTGTGTGTGTGTGTGTGTGTGTGTGTGTGTGTGTGTGTGTGTTTTGATTGCTTTAGGGCCTGCTCCTCCTGTCGAAGTGTCACGGTTAGTAATCAAAGGATAAACTGGAGGAGAATTACAAATGACGGTATCATCTGTGGTTGACAGTGTCATCTGTAAAGCATGATCACCGTTGGCAGTGTGTCACACTGGGAGAAGACTGTATTCATCAACTGCTACTGTAGTCATAACTCAGAATACACTTATCGATCCCTCGCCTCCAAATCAAAGAGAATTCATTTACCAAGCACCTCTGCTGGTCAATGAATCTATATCCATTCTAGCTAGGGAACGGTAATAACATAAATGGATATCATTACTGTGGTGGCCACCATTATTGGTTATCTAGAATCCTGTGACCAAATAATTGGGCTAAACCGTGTGCTACCTTGTCACAGGGTCATGGTTCTAGTATGTTGTGCTTTATATTTAGTTGTAATCATCTTGAACAACCTCCTTGTTTATTACATTTGGCCAAGAAACTATATATACCTTCCCTTGTGTATCAGGTCCATTGAGTAGGTTTGTAGTACGCCAATAAAACCAAATAAGTTGTATATACACAAATTAGATGACAGCGTGAGAATTTCTATTTTTAAGTCAGCTTCAGTGAGCACAGGAAACTTCAATGTCCCAACAATTGTGGACGTATAGCTAATTGGAAAAGTGGGTTAGAATGGGATAAATTCTAATATAAAGTGATCTGTGTATAATCCATCATATCAACGAGAATCATGTTGACTGAATGCTAATGAAAAGCTGGAACAAAGTTTATATATGTGTAATAATTAGGCAGCAGACGTAAAGCTTTGAATACAACTCTGTGTGTAATGTAGCGGTGTCTCTGCACTCCGGTAGGAGATGTGAGAACTGACTAAGTGTGTCTCTGCCTGTAATTTTACCTCTCCACTATTTATATAGACACACACTGTTTCAGTAAGACTGCAAAGTGTCGCTCCGGGCTAGCTTCATTGCCATCTCCTGCTACTTCTCCCACACCGTCATCTTTTTGTCTTGATTTGTGGGACTCATCAGGAAATTGTACTTTTCTAGCTCCTCCAGAAAAGATACATGGTTCTTGTTCCTGCTTAGTGTTCCCAGCTCACCGTCAGTCTGAGAAATTCCCTAAACTACACAATTTGGCACACTCGATGGGACTCAAAGTCTCCATTTCACTCTCACCGTCGTCCCCCAATTAGGCCTGAAATCCATAAGCTCATTAGATTGTCCAGGTTAAGGGGTTCTCTCATTCCCCTGACGTCTCTTTCACACTAACAAGACAAACTCTGTTAACATGGAGCTTCCAATTATTCACAAAAATGTGGCAGTTCTGCTAACAATGCCGTGAGCAGCCTTTTGTCAGTAATTTGCTGCGGCCCATCTCTGTGACACGCTGTGCAGAATGGAAATGTAAGACACTGAAAGAAAAACATTTGTTATTCAGTGTACAAAAGCAACATCCTCGTGTTCTGAGGACTTGTGTGTCTTATATAAGTGAGGGCATTCAAATGTTATGTTCACTTTAATGGGCGCTCTCCGGATTTTACACAAAGTCAGTTTACTTGGCATTGTTAGTGCAGTAACACAATGTTGAATATCTTCTGTGTCTGTAGGAGATATGTCAAGTCTAATAAATAAATCCTCAAGATGTCATAATGAATTAGTCAAACTACTACTGTATTGCATACTGTGTATTACAATGCAGGGACACTGAGAAAAAACTGCACAAAAATTAAAGACAAAAATGATAACTTGGTGAAGTGACTGAGTATAAAGGTAGACATTGTGTGTGGCGTAATGACAAGGATTCATTATTAATTATTAGTTATGATCATGAGCTTGAAAACTCCAAGGATATTTCTGTAAATAAACTAACATATAAAAAAACAATACAAATAATAACAAAGAATGAAGAAAAAAGGAAGTTTTAAATAGTTTAAAATTAAAGAGCAATTGGTAGAATCAATATCCCACTGACCCTTGCGCTAAGACGACCAAAAACTATCCCTGCGTTGTTGTAGCTACATTTTAGACTCAAATATTGTATTTGTTGTTAGTTTTATTCATACTAATTAAACGTAAAAAGCCTTTTATAAATCTGTAGTCGGAGCACCTACACAGATTAGCTGACTTTTTCTTTTTTTGCAATCACACTTATCGGGGTTACTTTTTGTTTGACCACCCTCCCTGATATTCAACACGGAACTAGGCTCCTGAGTGAAACATGTCTGACTCTGCATCAAGAAGCACTTTTAAACCCGTGAGCCATGTACTTTTCGACATGGATGGACTTTTATTAGGTGTTGAAACGCATTATGTTTGTTATGTCTTGTAGTTTTCTTTGTCTATTCATACTGGGAGATTGCACCTCTACTAAAGCGACGTTGACACCGAAACTCGTGCACAGCTATTCACTTGGCATGCCGAACTGCATAGAGAAAACTATAAATTCATTATTCATTTGCACACAGTCAACATAACGTGCACTATTAAACCAAACGTTGAATTGTGTTTTGTCGCTAATAACCTAGTGGTTAATTCGGCATACATTTCCAATATGTATTTGTTCTAGAAACCTCAGAAATGCAATGTTTACTATTCCTTGTTGACGTGACGTTATGTTACCCTAATTTGAAAGTTGATTTTATACAAGCTGTTTAAAATTGACTCATCAGACATGTGCCGAATTTAAGATTAATAATATATTTAACATGGACTACGTGGTGCTTGACTATATATGTATATTTATTTCGCAAAACAGAACAGTTTACATTGCAATGGTTTGATACCAAAGCTCTGTTCAGGGCTGTTATCCCTGAAAGTATTATTTATTTTGTTTGTTTAGAAAATAAAGTGCTTTTTACAACAGGCCTTTTATAAAACACTTTTCATTACAATAAGTGGTCATTACCAGAGTTGTAGTATTGCTTAATGACATTGTTTTTGTATTTTATTCTCATTTTAGACACAGAGCAACTGTACACCGTGTCCTTCCAGGAGATCTGTGACCGCTATGGGAAGCGGTACACCTGGGAGGTGAAGTCCTCGGTGATGGGGAGGAACGCTCTGGTTGCTTCGCAGATGATCCGTGATGCTCTCGATCTCCCCATGACCGCCGAGGAACTACTCTCTGAAAGCAGACAGATCCAAGAGAGGATCTTTCCCTCCGCCAAACTCATGCCAGGTACATCTGATTTACCCGCACTGCCACACTTCAAACAAAATAATAGCAATCATTTTCTGTAAAACAGTCCAAAGTGTTCTTGAAGGTTTCTGCTGTGACGCCTTGATTTTGGCATGAAAGTGAGTGACTGCACAGTGAGTGAAGGCTTTTATAATCCACTTTACTTCAGGAGGCTAATTATCATAAAGAGCATTTTTTTTCTGGGAATATGAACATTAATTATCTTTTCTGAAAGAAGCCAATAAAAGTGTTACATAAGGACGATGACTCAGAAGGTACAGCTGCCTCTCATCTTATAATTCATCACCTCATGCGTTAACGTTGAATTATAATGGAGAGCATTTTATTTGTGTTCTATTGAACAGAGGAAGGGTTCACTATGAGTCAGTAGTTTAATCTTGAATGGATTATGCACAGTAGAATAGACGTTTACCTTTACTCCCCACAGTTGCATTCATTTGTGATGCTTTTCTATTTATCTATTATTATATCCTGGCGAGGTAAACACTGTGGGAAAACTCTATGTAGAGTTAAAGAGCTAAAAGTAATGGCTTTGAACACAGTTTGAAAACCTTTTTGTCAAATTCTATGCAATTTCTTTTGACAATTCCATTAAACTCATTGAGGACACATGGCAAACCTTTAAAGTCACAAAGGCGCAGATGAGACTATCGTTCACCCAAATACCTTACTTGTTTCCTTCAGATTCAGGAAATGAATCGGGACCAAACATTGCGTCTGCCATATGCTCCATTGTTGAAATGTCATATAAACATTTGTAAATGTGAAACGTTATTTGTCACTCTAGTAATTTGTTCAGAGTAGGACTGCACTGATAGATTCCAAATAGCTATTTTTATACAAAAATGTAATTAATCGTGCAGCCCTTATTCAGATTCTCCTTACTTCACATCCTTCTGCTTCCCCTATGTAAGGCCTTTCTGCAGAGTGATGTGCACAGAGTTTAAAGCAATAAAAAGAGGAGCTATTGCATGGATGTAATGGTTTAGTCTACACCTTGCAGAGGTGTTGTGTTAGTCTAGTTTCAGTGATACATAACTGAGGACAAATTCCCCTTTAAAAAAATATGTGTTGGAGTCAGCCCTTTGTAACGAATTTGCTAAAGTGTGGAGCAGCATTACTATCTGTTAAAAGATGTGTTCACGGTCTCTTTAACTAACACAAAAGCTTGGAAGGACTTTTTATTACATTTTATAGAGTGTCACCCTTGAAGCTGTAGATTAAAATCCTCCCACAGCTCTGCTCTCGGCTCACTGTTGAAACACAAAAGAAGAATGGACACATATTCACTAGCTGTACAAAGAGCTCTATATGAATAGGGTTTCTATTGATAACATTAGCCTTGTATATCAGAATCTTATTTATTGTCAAGTAGGTTTACAAATACAAAACGTTTGCTGTTGTGTAACATGGATCTACCCGGCAGTGCTTCTCAAAGTGTGGTCCATGAGCGCCCCCTAGTGGTCCGTGAGTATATTGGTAACATTTCACATTTGAAATAAATAAATAAATTTAAGTTTTACGCACTCTCGCGGAAATATCTCCGCAATGGAGCGAGCTTAAGTTTAACTTTCGATTGCATGATATAGCCCAGATAAACACCTTCATCACACATGTGGCCACTTGTTTGTACCATTTTCAGGCAATTTGTAAAAAACGATGTGTTTTTGGATATTTGTGGAATTAGGTGGTCCGCGAGTGTTTTTTTATTGGTTAAGTGGTCCTTGGTATGAAAAAGTTTGAGAAACACTGATCTACGGTGACTGGTGGCCCATATCACTTCCATTAGGAGAAACTTGTGAAATTATGCAAATATATTAAAAACACAAATGTTCCAAAACAAATGCAAATGAAGAAAATGTTTTGGGCTGTGTTGAACATGAACACAGTAAGAGGAATAAAGTTATATAAAAAAAATATATATAAATAATATCAATACATAAAAGTAAGTAAAAATAGAGTGATTATGTAACCTTAAAGTTAGCAACCACTTTTTGACATTCACCAGTGAGGTATTTACTGACATATCTTATGCTCTTAATACAAACGTTAAGGTATTTTAAGCTTGTCTTAATCTTATTTTAGGTATCTAACCAACAACACGTTAAAAAAAACTGTTGACTTTGAGAAGAGGGAACAGAATAGCTAAAATACTAGGAAGAATATGACAAGTTACTAAAAGGGAAAAAAGTTGTGCAGTATTTCAGAATGTAAAAGTCTTAAAAGAGGGTAAAACATACATTAAACCTGACTTTGCAACATGGGTCCCGCTAGGTGTGGAGAAGCTGGTGCTCCACCTGCTCAAGCACAACATCCCCGTCGCCGTGGCAACCGGCTCGGCAGGGGCAACCTTCCAGCTGAAGACCCTCCAACACAAGCCCTTCTTCGGTCAGTTTGACCACATCGTGCTGGGGGACGACCCCGACGTGAAGAACAGCAAACCTGCCCCCGACTCCTTCCTGGTGTGCGCCTCCAGGTTCCTCCCCCCCGCTGCTCCGGAGAACGTGAGTGCTGCACACTACACTTCCTGTGTCTTATCTGAAATGACTCATGTTGTGCTGGCATACAGTGTGAACGCAGAGGCCTTTTAATTAAATCTCCAGTGTTATTTTGTTTCCAGTCTGTGCTCCAAAAAAAGAACTGCCTACGGTGTAATAATAATAATAAATTATATTTATGACAAACAAAACAAACAGACAATCAACGGGCAAACCAAATAAATAAATAAAGGAAGCCAGGGGACCAGAAAAGGGCAAGGGCCCGAAGGCCAGGGTGAACAGGTGTGTTTTTAGTGATAATTTGAAGATGTCCAGGGAGGCAGCATTACGGATCTCGGCAGGAAGTGCATTCCAGAGTACCGCTACTGTACTTGAGAGAAAAACCTTGTTCTGCTACATTTATAATGAAATCCATTATAAAAGAACATTCGGAGAGAAGGAAATGAAGCAATGGGTTCTTACTGTTTTTAAGGGGTGACCTCGTATTATTGTAAAAATACAGTTTTATCCATTTATCGTATTTTTGGGGATTTGCTAATAGGTCATTTATTTAGCTTCTGAATTGAATTGCATTAGATTTGAATGTTGTACCATTAGCACGTAGAGGAGACCTTTATGTGAGGATAATATCAACAAATGTCCTGCATCGAGTGGTGTTTAGCTGCCTGTTTGTCAGATATTAGCTTTTCTGAAGTGTTCCATTGGCAGTATGCAGGCAGGGCAGGATGTCAGTGACAGACACACACTTAGACTGTGTTGCTTTGATCACAAGTGGAGAGCTTTCAGGGATCAGTGGCTGTTTAAGATATATTCCCAGACAGTCTGGAAGCCTTTCAGTGTGTTGAATCAGTCTGAAAAAAGCTGCCAAATATCTCTCAGAAAGACACCGAGGAACAGTGTGAGGCCTGACCCACTTCCATGAAAACTAGATCACGTGTGACAAATGGCAGCATTATGCTAATACCAACACATCTGCTGTTGATCATTGCTCAGTGCACGGCTTTCAGTAATTTAATGACATACTTGGCTATTCATTATGTATTTATATGAAAACTGATTATAGAGGGAATGGGAAACCGGGACATCTTCCACCAGGTGTTATGAAACCTGCATTTTTCCTCGAATCTGAAGAGTATAACTATAAGCTTCACTTCTAAGAAAGACCAATCAAATCAAAAGCTAGTTGAGCAGCAGCCTGGAGAGGACAAAGGTTATTCCTTGACCCCTCCAACCTCCATCAAATGTGTGTTTGTGACAGAAAGTCATTCCAATCAATGAACGGGGACTCGATTGCAGTTTGAAGGGCGGCCCGAGAGGCTTCTTATCATCTCAGCGTGGAAATATGGGTCTCATACCTCATTCAGCTTTTATTTAACAATTTGTCCCCTGTAAACGCATGATATCCACTAATCCATGTGTTGTAAAGTAGATGGTGCGTTCTTCCTTTCTTGATTAAAGTGCTCTTAGGGATGGATGGCGACAAAACGATTTTCAAGAGACCGTGAAGTTTTATGTTGCATATCCTTTAATGTCATTTGCACAATTATTTTCGTTGGCAACTGCTATAAGCTCTCCCAAAGGCGTACCTGCATTTCCTGTGTCCGAGTTAGCTGAATTGTACGTTTGTAGTCGTGCTTCGAGTTTTGCTTTCCTGCGAACGCTGAGCTTCTGATTCTGGAATATCCGCACAGTACGAAGGAAATTAACCGGAAGTACCAGCAGTAAATGGTAGGCGTTACCTGTGAGTCACAAACACGTCTGTATGAGGTATTTGACCTCACAAGACATTTATTTTCTGATATGTGTGTGTTCAAAAGCTCTCTCCTCTTCCAATACACCTTCAGTTACCAGTGTAAAAAAGGTTTATACGGACCATAAATCACATATAAACTATAAAACCCTGCATTTACACATGGCTTCTGGATAACAGCGCAACAAAAAGAAGTCATTCAAAAAGAGAGCAATCATGGCGTACTGTATTTAGATATTTACAGCCTTGTTTTACTGGAACATTTGAAGCATCCAATTCAGTGTATTTTCGCTACATCCTCTGCTCTGCTCTTTGCTACAAAGCGCTCTGCCTGTGGAACACCGGATTTTTTAATCTGGAGCCAGCCACCGTCAGAGCTGGCATTTTTCTTGATGAGATATGAAACTGAGGCTCAGAGGGGGAATCGACAGAGTGTTCGGTGGAATAACGAATGACGATAGGGAGGAGAGGAGGGGATGAGCGACCTCAACGCAAGACAGAGGGAGAGAGAGAAGCAGAGCAGATAGAGGCAGAGCTAAGGGAGGGGGTAAACAGAGGAGTATGGTAATAGCACACATCCAATTGTCAGCTCTCTCTGCCCTAATCTCAACCCTGATGAAAAAACAACAGCTTGTTTTTAGCCACTAAGAGACAGACTGAAAGGCATGTCACACAGACAGACCTAGGCATAGTCATTTTCTGGAATGTTCTGATGATTCAATTGCTTTATGCTGCACCCCCTGTCATTATGATGTGTTTTCAAAGATTACAGATATGGAATATATCCAGTACATGTTGCAGTTGAGTGTAGTGCAGACATCCATTGTTTCTGCTTGATCTGCTATATAGCTTTTAACCAGAGCGACTTACAATACAATCAGGATCAATACTGAACTCTCTGATTGGTAGACGCCCATGTCCCCCCCCTGAGCCACAACCACCTATTAGGCTGCTATATACAGACAGCTGGCTACCTTATTAATACCTGCTTGTACACAGTACAGAGTATATTCAGTCCTACTCGTAGATATTAATATTTGCAGCGTGATTGCTAAAGACAGCTAGCCTGCTGCAGTGCAGAGACGCCTGGAGTGACGACTTCTGTCAAATTTGGCAAGTGTACAAAACCTCTAGTACTCATTATATGACATATACATTTTTAGATTTCTTGGTGAATAGTCCTAGCTTTTAACACTGATGCAACATAGTAAGAATGACAAAACTGTACTGTTTCCTATGCTCTTATGTAAATGCCCCTGGCAGCAGAGCAAATGGATAACAACATGTGATTACATGTGATATTGAGAGGCAGAGCAGGGCAGCCTGTCCCTCACTGAGCACTCCAGTGTCCTCACAGCTCCGTAATGTGTCCACGCTGCTGTCTGAGCCCACCGACAGTGAAAGAAACACCTCGGCTCTCTTCTCCACGCCGAGCAAAAAGACGTGTTTCACAACTCCAATGTAACACCGTTGATGAAACAGGAGATTTTTACCAGAGGTGTGCACAGCAGCCTGAATAAGATTAATGAAAGCTGAGTGTGAGCGAGTTCACACACACCGATAGGAAGAGAGCGAGGCAGAGATAACTAGTTCTTCCCCCGCCATTAATCATACAAAGCCTCACACCTGGGGGTGGCTCTATAATCCAGATATTCAAATCAGGTACAATTAAGACATGAACTTTTCTATTGAAACATTAAATAGGACCATTACCGCTCTGACAAAGCTCGCCATATTCACCTCTCGCCTTTATCAAATACACACCAGCCCATCAATTTCCAAATGCCTATCTTTGAATTAAGGTTTTTATGTGGAAGTGCTAAATGTAAGTAAATGTTAAGTGGTTCAGGTCACTTTCAATGCTAAGTGTGCATTGATCGTTTCTACACTGCACTTCCCACAGATCGCCCACCTTCGCTGCATATGTTCTTTATTTAGCTGAGTCTGCTCAGCCATGATGTCTTCTAAATGCCTTCCTCCATGGTTGTGACTTTAATGGCACTTTTCTATAGCCATTAGCCGGCACGTGTAGACACTTTGGTTGTTTAAAAATAAGTTAATCTTTATCCATGGACACACGCTACGTTTTTGGTGGCACTGGTGTGTTTCCCTTTCCCAGCTACCCAGGATTAGGAGAAGGTTGGCCAAAAGATGCTTCCTCCATGTTGTTAGCCGTAAAGGCGTTGATTGGAAAACCAGACGTACATTTTGAAAATATTTGAAGGCTCCTTATGTGGTGCTGGATTTGACAGGCTGTAAATTGAGTATCACTGTTTTAAGGCATTACAACAACATAAGTTTTACACTTCATTTTACAATAATATAATAAGTCAACTGATTTGTCAATGTTACACCACTTTAATTACAAACCCTTTTCAAAGCCCACAGTTTGGTAGATGAACAGTGAGCTAAGAACTGAGTGAGGTTCCCACACAGGCTGGATAGTCAGTGGATTCCTTCTCGGCTACAGGAGCTTTGGATGTGCGGATAATGATGCTGCAACAATACGGCAACCATCATCCCAACCCTATTTTGTATTGTCTTTCATCCCTCACAAATCAGGGGGCTTACAAGGATTCCCATAATAAAGAATCATCACTGGGATGATCCAATAAGTGCACTCTGCCGACCTCAGTCATTCATTCATCACTTTACCCTTTTTACTTTACTCCACTTTGATGCTGACACATGACCACAGTCACACAGAACAGATGCATCTGCTGCGATAATGGAAATGGTGCAAAATGTTAGAAACACCATAGTGTAGGAAAACTCTGCTCCAACAGGTCTCAGGCTGAGAGGCTCACTTCTCTACTCTTTAAATACTCAAGATGTTACGCTTTTGGAATGAACTCTGACAATATAACGAGTCAGTGAATGGTTTCAAGTTGATTTTAAAAGCGTCCCTGCTATCTAACTGCAGCACATGACCAGAGCAACGTGCATACGGATCACAGCCGGCCCTCCTCCCGTTTCTATTTCCCAGCTCGATACTTTATCATCAGACTTCAAGTGTGTGTGTTAAGCCTGCTGCAGGGTCCTCCTCGGATCACATCAAAGCAAAGGGAGACATTTTCTTCTCATTTGAGCTCAATGGTGATTTTCTGATTAAGTCCTTGGGCTGTCCACAAGCTTTCCTTTGCAATCTCTTTACATTCAGACAGCGGTAAGTTATCTGCCGATGAAAATGTGCTCGGTAATAGCGGCCCGTCGTGTGAACGCATTGTGTGTCAGTAAACATGTCAAGCTGGGATTC